ACATCATGGTGACCAGGAAGCAGAGACTCCACTCTCCAGATACAAATATGTACACTAAAGCCATGTCCCCATTCCCGCCTCCTCCATCCATACCCAATGACTTCAGTTAATCACTGATTAGGCTTATAACCCAATCATTTCTCCCTGCAAACCTTCTTGCATTGTCTCACATGTGAGCTTTCAGGGGACAGCTCACATCCAAATGAAAACACCCAGCCTCCAGAGACAGCAACTATTGATGTTTTGGTGTGTTTTCAGGGTCTTTCTAATGCTAGTGTGTACAGACACTTATTTGAAGAATTGGGGTTACATTCTTCTTAGAATTTTTATCTACTCATTGGGTAACAATCCCTGTGTACCTTTGCTCTTTAGTGTGAAACATGATTTATTTAACAGCTGTCTTATTTTTAGACATCTTTTCCATGTTTCATGATAATAGTTGACTTCACATGGCACAAGTCTGCAGTTTCCTAGGGGTTCAATCTGACTTTATCAATAGTGATGGGGACAGGGAGGCACTTTTAAAATTATTTTCAGGGTTGGGGATGTGGCTCAAGCGGTAGTGTGCTTGCCTGGCATGCGTGCGGACCGGATTCGATCCTCAGCATCCCATACAAACAAAGATGTTGTGTCCACAGAAAAGTAAAAAAAAAATAAATATTAAAAAATTTTCTCTCTCTCATTAAAAAAAAAATAAAATTATTTTCATTAGGGGCTGGGGATGTGGCTCAAGCGGTAGCGCGCTCGCCTGGCATGCGTGCAGCCCGGGTTCAATCCTCAGCACCACATACAAAGATGTTGTGTCCGCCAAAAACTAAAAAATAAATATTAAAAAAACTATTTTCAGGGGCTGGGGATGTGGCTCAAGCGGTAGCGCGCTCGCCTAGCATGCGTGCGGCCCGGGTTCGATCCTCAGCACCACCAAATACCAACAAAGATGTTGTGTCCGCCGAGAACTAAGAAAAATAAATAAATAAATAAATGTTAAAACTCTCTCTCTCTGTCCCCCTCTCTCACTCTCTCTTTAAAAAAAAAAAAAAAAAAAAAAAAAAAAAAAAAAACTATTTTCATTAATCATGAAAAATGTCACTATTTGGATTTTTTTTTTTTTTTTTGTAGCAGGGATTTAACTCAGGGGCACTCAACCACTGAGCCACATCCCCAGCCCTATTTTGTATTAGAGACAGGGTTTCACTGAATTGCTTAGTGCCTTGTTCTTGCTGAGGCTGGTTTGAACTTGCAATCCACCTGCTTCAGCCTCTGGAGCTGCTGGGATTTCAGGCATGTGCTACCACACCCGGCTTCAAAAAGAAAAACTACATTTCACTTAAAAAAAAAAAAAATTAGTTGCCAATGGACCTTTATTTTATTTATTGATATGTGGTTCTGAGGATTGAACCCGGTGCCTCACACATGCTAGGCAAGTGCTCTGCCACTGAGCCACCACCCCAGCCCTCACTTTTTTTAATACTATTTTTTAGTTGTACTTGGACACAATCCCTTTATTTTATTTATTTATTTTTATGTGGTACTGAGGATCAAACCCAGTGCCTCGAATGTGCTAGGCAAGCAAGGGCTCTACCACTGAGCCACAATCCCAGCCCTACATTTCATTTTTTTCCATATTTCTATTGGTGCATTACAGTCTCATATAATGGGATTTGTTGATACATATTTGTGAATGCACACAATATAACAATATAATTTGTCCAGTGTCATTTTCCATTATTTTCCCTTTCCCTCTCTCCTCCCTCCCCCAAATACTTTTTGTTCCAAGGAAATGGAAATTAGAGACAATAGAAAATATTAAAGTATGTGCAGGCTGGGGATGTGGCTCAAGCAGTGGCGTGCACCCCTGGCATGCGTTCGGCCCGGGTTCGATCCTCAGCACCACATACAAACAAAGATGTTGTGTCCGCCGAGAACTAAAAATGTAAATTAAAAAAAAAATAAAGTATGTGCATTTGCTGAGTGTATGTGTGAGCCACACTGCAACATAAGACACTTTTTTTTTTTAAACTGTAGGTCTTGGTAAACAAGTCAGTTGAGTCTGTTACAATGGTTTTGCTCCCACCATGCAAGGTGGAATATATGAACATTACTCTATGGATGCCTGTGCATAGAAAATGTTTTTTCTAACAAGATACCTAGGTATCATCTGTCCTTCAACCAGATACCAGGGGTAAATTTCTGCCCTGGGCCATATTCTGCCATCTCCTTTCTGCCCTGACCACTCCTGATCCTTCCCAGTTGGCCCTGTGTGGCATGCCCTGCTTCTTGTTTCTAGGGACTTGTGTCCATAAACCAAATTCTTTCATTACATCCATTTCTGTGTGTCTTACCACACCTGATTAAAAAAAAGCCCTAGTACATTTTAATCACTGTGAGACTTGCGTGTGTCCAGGAGAGTAGAGTGTAGAGTGACCCAACAGTCCTTGCCTGTTTAAAGTTGCATGGCTCTGGCTTGTCTGTCAGGACACCAATGTGCTCCTGGAGATACAGCATCTCTTTGAAAATAGCTTTTTAGTCGGGATGATTCTGGAAACATTTACAGCTTGGAACCCTGATGAAACAAAGGCTGGGGGCTGGGAATGTGGCTCAAGCGGTAGCACACGCGCCTGGTATGCGTGCGGCCCGGGTTCAATCCTCGGCACCACATACAAACAAAGATGTTGTATCCCCTGAAAACTAAATAAATAAATAAATAAATAAATAAATAAATAAATAAATAAAGTTGAAGTGAGGGGAAAAAACAAAACAAAACTTAAAAAAAAAAAAAAAGAAACAAAGGCTGGAGACACCTCAAGGGCAATATAGGGGGACTCCCACAAGGGAGTGCCCTAAACCATCCCAAGTTGAGATTTCAAGTTAAGAAGTACCAATTCAGGGCTGGGGATGTGGCTCAAGCGGTAGCACGCTTGCCTGGCATGCATGCAACCCAGGTTCGATCCTCAGCACCACATACAAACAAAGCCGTTGTGTCTGCTGAAAACTAAAAAATAAATATTAAAATTAAAAAAAAAAAAGAAGTACTAATTCCTCAGCACTTACTAGGGGAACTTATAGGGCCCAGCTTCCTGGAGACCAGATAGGTTCTACCAAAGTTTGTCTGCAAGGAGGGGGTCTGGCTATGGAGTTTATTTTTTATTATTTTTTTTAAACTTTTTTTTTTTTTTTTAAAGAGAGAGTGAGAGAGTAGAGAGAGAGAGAATGAGAATTTTAATATTTATTTTTTAGTTTTCGGCGGACACAACATCTTTGTTGGTATGTGGTGCTGAGGATCGAACCCGGGCCGCACGCACGCCAGGCGAGCGCGCTACTGCTTGAGCCACATCCCCAGCCCTGGCTATGGAGTTTAGAAGAGGGCTTCAGGGATTTAGTTCAGTTCTGGGGCTAGTTCCTACCTGTTTAGGAACAGAAGTTATCTCCCAGTATATTTGAGGAACAACTTAAGCAGCTTTATGGGTGCCTAGGAACATCCAAGGTCCTGACTTGGGTTCAGACCTACAGGGAAAACAGCTGGCCAAATCCTAAGTCAAGGCACTCTGTGTCACTCAGGAAACAAAAAGAACTCAGGGAGAACCAAGGGCCCTAAAACCCCAAGCCCAGATGGATCCGAGGGAAAGTGATATGGGCTGGCCCAAAGAACACTGTAACCCTGCAAGGGTCTCTGACAGCTCAGTAGCACCAAGGCTCAGCAAAAAGGGGTGTGGAGGCCCTGGAGCGTCCTGCAGTGGATACAGAGGTAAGAGGCAGCCCCCTTCCCTACCTCCAAATAGAACCTTCAGGGCCTCAGTGCCCTATCACCTGAACACTGGGCTGGTGCCCACCCTGTGGACATCCTAAGTCAGGCTCTCTATAGAACCATGTGTCAGCTCCCCCTTGCACTCCTTGTGTTATCCTGGGTGTGCCCTGCTTGCAGGAGCAGACCAGGTTGGAGTACAGGGTTGCCAGGCCCCATCAGTTCAGGACCCTGAAGTATGAAACTTGCTGTCATGCAGGCCAGAGACGCCAGTGTGCCTGGTTGGATCTAAGGTTCTGTGAAGACATCAGGGCACTGGGGCAGTGCTTCCCTGTCTGGCATGAGAGCTGCTGGAGGCTCAAGGCAGGAGTACACTGCTTTCCTGGGGCTTGGAGAGGAACTAGAACATTCTCTTACCGGGACTCCCTGCAGGGGGCTGAGTCCAGAGGGATCTGGATTTGGATCGGGCACTGGTCGGTGTGAGGCGAGTTTGATGGGAGCCTGGAATGGGGAGGCACGCAGGTTCAGCCAGACGGTGCCTCAAACTCCCTGAGTATCCTAAGAAAGCCAGGGAGACCCCGCTCGGCAAGAGGACGCCCTGGCCTGAGCTGGCGGCTCGGTCCGAGAGGGCAAGGGGGACGCCGCCTTCCTTTTGGGGGGCTTACCACGTGTTCCAGCGCTCCCTGACGCTGTGGCGGCATTCAACAAGAAACAGGCTCCTGTTGCCCCCAACCGGTCTTGCCCACTGCCCGGGAGCTGGCGCCCACCCTGAACCGAGACGTCTGCGCGGCGCCGGCGTGCCGACCGGGGTTTTCTGCTAATGAAAAGCTGACCAACTGCGCCCCGACAGGGCCAGCGTGGGGAACCAGCGCCCGAGACTGACCACAGGAGGTGAGCCCGGTCGAGGCGACTCCTCGCCCGGGGTGCGTTCAGCTTGCGAGAAGTTGGGGCCGGAGCCCCGGAGCCCACGACCCACGGCGCGCGGAGATGCCCGGCCCCGCCCAGATTCGTCGCGCGCGCGGAGTCCAGCCACGCCCTCCTCGGACCCTGGCCCCGCCCTCTGGCTCCTGGCCCTGCCCACCGCCCTTGTGCCTTGCCCCGCCCACTATCGTTTTCATCCACGCCCTCCTCTGACCCAGGCGTCTCTCAGGCTCCGGGCCCCGCCGTCCCCAGGGTTCAGCCACGCCCTCCCCGCGGTCTAGTCCAGACAGGCTCCTGTCCCGCCCTCTCGGTAAGCGACACCCCCATGGCCCCTGTCCCGCCCGCCACAGACGCTAGCCTATTCCTCGAGCTCCTGGCCCAGCTCTTGGGCCTACTCTAAACCGCGATACAATTTGCCTCTCCTTCGGGCTCCGGCTCCGCCTCTTCCTCTCAAACCCGGGAGGCGGGGCAGGGAACCACCGAGACGGCCGAACCTCCGAGCGGACCAGAACGGCCGGAAGTGGGCAGGGTGCGTGAGCGAGGCCCGTTTCAGGCGGCGTCGCGCATTTACGGGCCTTGGGCTGGCCTCCGGTAGGGTGAGTCGGTGTGGCGCGCTGGGTTGGCCTCTACTTAGGGAAGCATGGGCTGCTTACAGAGGCGGTGAACGCTTGGCGGAGGACATGGTCGGGCAGCGGCCGCCTTGGACTCCGTCGGCGAGAGGCGGCAGTGGAGCGGCTGAACCCCGCAGCTACCCCCAGGTTGCTCGCGGACTCCGGAGTCCTGCCTGAGTAAGGCGAGCCCTAACTGCGCTTTCCCTCCCGCCCTGGGCTGCTCCGCAGTTCTCCCTGGTTTTCCTGCATAATCACTTCTTCTAGGGTCCCGTCTTTTCCTCTCACTTTCTGCTCCTTGCAGGCCTTCGAATCGGTGATAGTGGCAGCAACATTGGTGCCACTGATGTTGGGTGGGTTAGACTGTCTTCGAGTCCTGGCTCCCATTCAAGGCCTTCCTTTCTCTTACTCTTCCAGCCCTGGCAGCAGCCCCCTAAATATCCAGGCTCCAAGGGAGCACCGCCCTCCAGTGGTCACTACGGTCGGGGTCGTGCTCCCTGTCCCATTGGCCTGGGGCCACTTTCTTGGCCAAAAGCTCCTCTAAGAAGCACTTCCCATTCTGACCTCTCACGGGACTTCCTGGGGAAGGTCCAGAGGTCGCTGTTTTAGTGAGGTCTTTAGCTACATCAGTAACTTCTGGGGCTGGTGACAGATGCCAGCAGTAGCTGATCCCCGGATAGAGTTTATGTACTTGGAGCATGCTTCCTGCATTTGATCCTATCTTCCCTGCAGTACATCATCCTGGCTTGTATCTATTCCAACCTGCAGTTGCTGCACGCCTGCTGCCTGTGATCTACCCACACTGGCTCCTTCAATCTTATTCTTGATTGCCTCAGGCCCTTTGCACATGATGTTCATACTGCCGGGAGTGGTCTCCCCAAGACAGTCACCTTGGCCTAGATCCTTGAAGAAGTAACCCTTTAGACTAAATGATTTTTTTGTTTTGTTTTATTTTGGTACTGGGGATTTAACCCAGGAGCACTTTACTACTGTGCCACTTCCACAGTCCTTTTTATTTTTCATTTTGAATCAGGGTCTCACCAAATTGCTAAGGACGTTGTTAAGTTGCTGAGGCTGGCCTCAGACTTGCAATCCTCCTGTCTTAGCTTCCTGAGTCACTGGGATTATGTGCCACTGCCCTCAGCCTAAATCAGTTTTCCAATTAAAGGTTTTCATAGTTCCCCATATCAGCACTACCATGGTTATGATATTTTGGTTATTTTGCTCTTTCCTCCACTAGCCTGGTCCATGAAGGTAGGATTATTGTGCATTCACTACTGCCTCCCCTTTGCCTACTTGAGTGTGTGGTACATGCCAGCCACTCCTGTGTGGACTGATTGACATCATACACAAACACACTGAAAGATGCACAAGGCTTCAGGGGCCACATACTTAAGCACCAGGGTTGCTTCAACCCAACTCATGTGCCTGCTGTGCAGGAAACACAGTACCACCTTGATTTTCTTAGGCGTTAGGGAGCTTCTACCACCCTGACCTCTAACCCTTTCATAATTCCCTGCAGGTGTCCCAGCCAAGACCAGTGGACACCATCCATCAAGCCTCATGGTAGGAAGCTTGGCTGCCTCCCTTCCCACACTTGCTCTGGGAAGCCTCCACCTCTTACTTTGGGCATCTACCTTGCCCCCTGGGCCTGGACGCAGACCCAGACCCACCCTCAGCCCTCACTGGCTCTTGCCAGGCTCAGGCACCCCCCTTGTCACCCCAAAGGCAGTGAGCAAACCTCTGCCAGATAGGCCCATCTGAGGCTTGTGAGAGGGAGGGTCATATGGTTACTGAGAGCCAGGTCCCTCCTCTCCTCTTAAATTTCTCTTTCCTCGGATTTTGGAGGAAGGAGCTAGGCAACTTTTGCCCAACCCCTTGGTGCACCTGCCTGAGATATGCTGTGATGCCGTGCAAGAATGGGGCTGGCACCCAGGGATCCCTGGGGTGCTGGTGTTTGTCCTTTCAGGAGACGGTGACATTTGGTGACGTGGCTGTGCACTTCTCCCGGGAGGAGTGGCAGTGTTTGGACTCTGGCCAGAAGGCCCTCTACAGGGAGGTGATGCTGGAGAACCACAGCAGCGTGGCTGGACTAGGTGAGGTGGCACCTTGGTCCCCCTCCCCTGCACAGTCAGCACCCACACAGCCAGGCCTGCATCAAATGTGGGGGAGGCTGAGTGCTCAGACTGTCTTGGGCTAAATAGGGGCCTCAAACCTGTGCTAGGCTGGTTCCAGACTTTGCACATATCAGGTGACTCAGCCTTCACTGGTAGGTGAAATTCTGAGAGTTAATAAAGCCTGTTTTTTCTTTCTTTCTTTCTTTCTTTTTTTTTTTTTTTTTAGAGAGAGAGAGAGAGAGAGAGAGAAAATCTTTAATATTTATTTTTTAGTTTTCGGCAGACACAACATCTTTCTTTGTATGTGGTGCTGAGGATCGAACCCGGGCCGCACGCATGCCAGGCGAGCGCGCTACCACTTGAGCCACATCCCCAACCCAAGCCTCTTTTTTCTTAAGCTACTAAATTAATGTTTGTTTTTCTTTTTTGGTACTGGATATTGAATGCATGGCACTTTACAGCTGAGCTACATCCCCAGCCCTTTTTATTTTTTGAGACAGAGTCTCAACTAAGTTGCTGAGGATCTTGCCTAAGTTTCTGAGGTTGGCCTAAGTGATCTGTCTGCCTCAGCCTCCTGAGTCGCTGGGATTGCAGGCATGTGCCACTATGCCTGGCCAGAATAAATTTTTTTGAAGACAGTGTACAGAGCAGATAAATGCAGCTTGTGTGGGCAGCAGTGGCATGTCACATCTTTTACCAGTTGCTGGAAGGCTTCTGACTTCAATTCTAAGATGTCCCTGAGGCTTAGAGGTGTGAAAGCATTTTATACAAAGTCTATCTTACAGTATATCAAAGGTGAACACCACACGGATTCACATTGTACCTTTACCCTTCTCTCATGTTTGGTAATGCTGGTTAGTTTTTTGTTTTTTGTTGTTTTCAGTACTGGGGATTGAGCCTGCCAGGGCTTCATGCCTGCTAGGTGAGCATTCTGCCACTGAGCTGCATTCCCAGCCCTGTCACATTTTCACATAATGTACTTTGGGTTTTGTCTTATATCTTGTGTCTTTGAGGTTTTATTAGTTATTCCCTACTTCAAGCTCTTTGAGATGGCCTACATTTTCTCCTGTGAATTTTACAGTTTATCTTCCTTATTAATATCAAGGCTCCACCATTGTGTTGGAGTTAAGGAGAAATCCTGTTTTAATTTATTTTTTTTTCAAAGAAAGGTAGAGAGAGAGAATTTTAATATTTATTATTTAGTTATCGGTGGGTACAACATCTTTGTTGGTATGTGGTGCTGAGGATCGAACCCGGGCCGCACGCATGCCAGGCGAGCGCGCTACCGCTTGAGCCACATCCCCAGCCCCCTGTTTTATTTTTGTCTGAGCATTGAAACATTTCCCCAACATGAATTGCTGACAATCTCCTTTTCCTGTTGATGCTCTTAAAATATGAAGTAGTGTGTTTCTGCGCTATTCTTTTCTGAGAGTCTGTGGGCCAGCTTCCTGCTTGGTTTGTTTTTGTTTCGTTGCTTTGGTTTTTGGAACGCTTCAGCCTCCCAAGTGACTGGGACTGCAGGTGCATCACCGCTTCTGGCTAGTATGTGCTAATATCTGGTAGGGTAGCTCACCCTTTTTATTTTGGGGGGATGTCAAGTACTAGGCATGCTCCTAGCATCTCCTTCTCTGACCACACACAGCAGGATTCCTGGTCTTCAAACCTGAGCTGATCTCTCGGTTGGAACAGGGACAAGAGCCATGGGTTATCGACCTGCAGGGAGTTGAAGGGACAGAAGCACCATGGACCTCCCAGACAGGTGAGGTGTAGGTCCTGTAGCAGAGAGCCTTTGGGAAGGAGTAGCCTTCCCAAAAGTGGGAACTAGAGAAGTGGGAGGTTGGGGTGAATCCCAAGGGCTTGACTGGCCTGCTGGGGGGGGCATAGGCACAATAGGTGTGGGACTTCCATGTAATGGCAAGAACACAAAACACCTGTGCATTCAGCAAAGTTTGCTTTTTGAAATTGTACACATTTTGTTCAGTTTCTAATTTTACTAATATACCTATCGAAGAAAGGCACAAATCTGTGGATCTGAGGAAGCATTAAACTTTGCTTTCCATTTCCTCTACTCAAACAAATTGCCCCTGCTGCTGTCTCTGGAACTTCTTGGGGCCTGGGGAACCAAGCCCCTCAGATCAGACCCTGGTGCACTGGCCTCCTGCAGCTGCTGCAGCAGAGTAACACAAATCAACAACAAATGTCTCACTGTGAAGCCCAGAAGTCTGCAGGGCTTGGCCCTTGTTGCCTTTTCCAGGATTGGGGACCTCATGCAGTTGTTGGTGTTCCTTGGCTTGTAGATGTGCCATTCCAGACCCTGCCTCCTTCACTTGTCAGCCTTCTTATTGTTTGTCTGTCCTATGTAGCCAGCTCCTTATAAGAACTCTTATTGGATTAGGGGCCGCCTGACATCCTCATGTTAAATTACTATGAGTGCAGCCATCTATTTCCATGTTCCCCTCTGTCCCTCCTGCAAAGGTTCCTTCTGATCCTCCCTGTGGAGGAGACAAAGCTGGAGGATGGCCAGTTAAAAACCAAGCTTCCCAGTAAGGTGCCTGCATGGTGGAGGAAGGTTGTGGAGAGCACAATGTGCCAGAAAAGCCAGCTGCAGTGGGCAGAATACAACAGCTTGATAGGTTTATGTGCAGCAAGTTGTACCCATAAGGGGATGAAGCAAACACAGGGTAACCATAGTGATCTCAGGACGAGATTGTGGGCCCTAGAGTACGGTATACAGGAGCACATAGCCAGAGGCATGGAGTAAAGGAAATACTCAGGCAAGTTCTTTGTCCCCGACTGGTCACAGCTGGCATCAGATATCGATGGGGACTAGAGGGAACAGTGGGCAGAGGGCAGAGTCTGCAGCAGTCCCTCCCCATGCCCTTGCCTACCACCAGAGCCCCCTGATGTGTGACTCCTAGCTCTTTGTTCCCAGATAGTGACAAGAGAGTCATAAGTCAGGCACTGCTGTGCCTTTGCTCTGGGAGGACATGTGGTGTTCCCTCTTCCAAAGATGCTTTGCTTTTTCATAGTGCTTGCCTTTTCCCAGAGATTGCCCAGAGTTTGCTGGAGAAGGACCTTCATGTTCCAGGGAAGGGGAGAGGACCTTGAGCTTCAGTTACAGGGGTGCCATGCAGGAGCTGTCAGTGCTAAATAGGGTCAGAGAGAAATGGGCCAGGCAGGAGGTCAGAGGCTGCCAAGAGAGGAGGCTGCAGGAGGCTGGGCAGCAGGACAAGGTGGGGCCATGGCCTGGTGTTGTGCAGGGTCACGGCAGAACTGGGAAATGTACATCAAGCCTCTTTTGGATGTAGACACAGGGACCCAGAGTGTGGAAAATATGAGCATAGCCAGGTTGTCTATGATGTCCTGGTCCTTTGGTTGGTGGTTGCAAGTGACTGTGAGCTGCTTGGTTCTGTGTAGCCCAAGACCTGGGCATTTCCACCAGGCCTTAGCCCTACCAGGGATGCATCTCACTCTCTTTTGGTCCTCTGAGTTTCTGGCAGGGGGAAGAGCAGGAGCAGTACTTGCTGGGAGTCTTAGTGTCCCACTTTCTCACCTCCAGGCAGAGGAAGGCTTTGGAGGAGGGATGAGCAAGCCCTGCCCAGGGAGTAACTTATCTGTGAGGCTGGGGTGGGAGAAGGCTTCCTTGTGGCTCCAAATGCTGTCCTCATCATCATGGCCTTGTGCAAGCTACTCAGCTCTGAGCCAGTCTGCCTCCCGTGGGTGAGGCTTCTGCTGACCTCACTGGGTTGTGGAAGACCAATTAGCAACCACTGGGATCTGTTCCCATCATGCAGAAGAGTTAGGTAGGTGGGACCCCTTTCTGGAAGACATGGAGATCACTGGAAGTTGGAGACCCAGCCGCTAATGATTAGGAGTGAGCAGAGCTGTGAGGCTGAAACCCTCACTGGGTTGTGAATTTGCTGTGGGTGGAACCAGGCTGATTGTGACTGTGACTGTGACTGTGTGATTATGATCATGGAGAAGTGTGGTTTCGGCAGAGGTGCTCTCTGGGATTTTGGAGTGGGAAGGAGCCTGAAGGAAAGTCCAGGAGGAAAGCAGATGTCAGGAAGGCTTCCTGGGGGACTGACGGGTTGGACCCTCCAGAAACCTGTCACAGAGAAAGGGAAGTCAGTGTGGTCTGCTGGGTGTGACCACTCAGCTTCCAGCCTAGCAAGGAGTGTCAGGTGCAAATGAGTGGCAGCTGGAGGGAGCAGAGAGTAGCCATAGGCAGCCCAGGCACTCTGCCCTCTTCTGAGCTCCCTGGGTAACCCCCCTGCAGCTCTACAGCCTCAGTCTCCCATTCCTGCCCATTCCCTCATTCACAGGTCAGACCTTTTTCTACCTTCCCGTTTAATGGCTGGGATGCTGGGGACCTCTGACTCCCTCTAAGTATCCTTTTTGGCAAACTTTCCACCTTCAGGTTGGCTTTGTCCAGTCCCATTTTGCATTCTTCACAGTGCCCCTGGGATGCACCTCTTCTCACAAACGCCTCTTAGGTCATGCAACTCCCACCACTCTGCCTAGCAGAGAGGAGCACTTCACCACTATGGACCAAAAAGCATCAATGAAGCCAAGTATGAGGCCTCTCCAAGTACCTCTTCTTGCATACATCTCCCCTTGTGGTGTGTAGCAGTGCTCCATGGAGCCCATCCTAGGAAGGGCTGGCCTTCCCCACCACTTCAGTCTTTGCCCTTTCTGTGAGCTCAGTACATATAGAGTATTTTCATTTCCTGTTTATTTCAGATTCTACTGTTAGGCTTGCACATGAGCAGGGGGACATGGACCTTCTGAAGCCTCAGGGTCCTGGCTCTGCAGACACTTCCAATACTGAGGTCTGGTCAGAGAGACTTCCAAGCAGCCCTGTGCTGAGAGAAAGGGGCTCCCTTCTCCAGAAACAGTGTTTGATTCAGGGGTCCGTGGCTCCCAAAACCTTCACCAAGGACACTACACAGGAATCCCAGGAGCTGGGGGCCAGTGGCCTCAGCTGTCAGCCTGGTAAAGGTCAGAGAGCTGGTGCTCAAGGGATGTCACAGCATTGCCAGGTATGCGGCAGAGACTTTGGACGCACTCCAGATCTGGCTCCATACCAGGAAATTAGTGTACAGGAGAAGCCTAACTGCTGTCAAGAATGCCAAAAACAATTGTCTGGCTGCTTTCAGGGGAAACTTTCAAGTAACTGCTGTGGAGAGAAGCCATATGAGTGTGAGGAGTGTGGAAAAGTCTTCAGGCTGTGTTCACAGCTTAATCAACACCAGAGAATCCACACTGGGGAGAAACCATTCAAGTGTGTGGAATGTGGAAAAGCCTTCCGCCTGAGCTCAAAACTAATTCAGCATCAGAGAATTCATACTGGAGAGAAACCATACAGGTGTGAGGAATGTGGGAAAGCATTCGGTCAGAGCTCCAGCCTCATCCATCATCAGAGGATCCACACAGGAGAGAGGCCCTATGGCTGCCGGGAGTGTGGGAAGGCTTTCAGCCAGCAGTCTCAACTAGTCAGACACCAGAGAACTCACACCGGAGAGAGACCCTACCTGTGCAAGGAGTGTGGCAAGGCCTTCAGCCAGAGCTCAACTCTAGCTCAGCACCAGAGGATGCACGCCGGGGAGAGATCTCAGATGCTCAGAGCCTCAGAGAGCCCAAGCCTTGTTGTGCATCAGACAAGTCACACTGTGGAAAAGCCCTTTAAGTGCAATGAGTGCGGGAAGGCTTTCCGGTGGATCTCTCGCCTGAGCCAGCACCAGCTGATTCACACTGGAGAGAAGCCTTATAAATGCAATAAGTGCACAAAAGCCTTCGGGTGTAGCTCAAGACTCATTCGCCACCAGAGAACTCACACTGGAGAAAAGCCATTCAAATGTGATGAGTGTGGGAAAGGCTTTGTTCAGGGCTCACACCTCATCCAGCATCAGCGGATCCACACTGGAGAGAAGCCCTACGTGTGCCATGACTGTGGGAAAGCATTCAGCCAGAGCTCCAGCCTCATCTACCATCAGAGGATCCACAAGGGAGAGAAGCCCTATGAGTGCCTCCAGTGTGGGAAGGCCTTCAGTATGAGCACGCAGCTCACCATCCACCAGAGGGTGCACACCGGGGAGAGGCCCTACAAGTGCACCGAATGTGGGAAAGCCTTCAGTCAGAACTCAACCCTCTTCCAACACCAGATAATTCATGCAGGAGTGAAGCCCTACGAGTGTAGTGAATGTGGAAAGGCCTTCAGTCGGAGCTCTTATCTTATCGAACACCAGAGAATACACACTAGAGCCCAATGGTACTATGAATATGGGAACACCCTGGAAGGTTCCACCTTCGTGAGCCGTAAAAAGGTTAACACCATAAAGAAACTGCACCAGTGTGGTGACTGTGAGAAGATATTCAGGTGGCGCTCACATCTGATCATACACCAGAGGATTCATACCGGAGAGAAGCCTTACAAGTGCAACGACTGTGGCAAAGCTTTTAACCGTAGCTCAAGGCTTACACAACATCAGAAAACACACATGTGATAGACCTTCCATCTGTAGGAATGAATAGATGTGAGTAAACCTGCAGCCTTAACTTGCTTATGTTACATGAGGTCATTTATACTGGCAGGAAAGTAGAGTGTTGGGATGGATTCAGAATTGCTGTTAAGAATGTCCTGCTTCATACAAAATGTTTATTTACCCATTAAATAAAACCTGTACCCCTCACACTCAGGGTGGTGTCTGTAGTTTTGGGTTTATAGAGGGCAGGGCCAAGGGCCCACTTAGAGGAGCAGGCATGAGGGGGACCGTATGAGCCCTGCCCCATAGCAGGCTAAGGAAGTCACCTCAAAGGGCTTCAACAATGAGGACGTGTTGGCGCTGTTAGAAGACATCCAGAAGTGGCATTCCTAGAATTCACTTCTGAATGCTTTGCGTGACAGCTTCACTTAAAAGTCATCTCTGGGTAGAGCCACCCAGGGCTAGCCCTATCCCCTTAAGAGGTAGGCTGGGTCCTGAGTTTGTCCTTCAGTGTGGGTGCAGCTGGCATTCATGGAGCAAGGGTCTCAAAAGTCACACCTGTTGTCCAGGAGCTTGCTGTGTGACCCAGGATCTTTTTGCCTCCCTGAAACTTGGAGCTTTTTTGCTTACCTGAAAATGTGTACTGTTGATGTAAGGAACCCATCTTTTTGTCCCTGGCAGAGGATAAGCACTTGTGACAGTGGGTGGAACACAGAGCCCTGGGTTGGAGAACCATCTTGTTTGGTGCAGTGCCCCACTTTGCAGGGAACACATCTGGAGAGGTCAAGATGCATTTGTGCTGTGTGGCACATTTTCTTGAAACTTCTCAGCCTGAACCAAAAACTGCAAGGACTGAGAGAGCCAAAGAATGTGCCCTTTCTGGAAACCATGGAGAGCCCACTGCTCCTCAATAGATCTGGAGATGGAAAGCAGGTTACAGTAGTGGCCAGGGCTTCTCTGGCTTCTCTGTGTGCCACCTGGGTGGGTACACATGGTGGGCATGCCAGCTGAGAAACAAATGGGGAGTAGCCACCTTCATGGTGAGTGGTAAGAGCCTGCTCTGGTGGGAGCTGTTTTTTTTTTTTTTTTTAATATCTTTATTTAAATCTTTATGTGGTGCTGAGGATTGAACTCGGTGTCTTGAATGTGTGAGATGAGCGCTCTACTGCTGAGCCGTAGACCCAGCCCCAAGGAGCTGGGATTTTAACTCAGGATTTTTCCTGCCAACACAACCTTGAGAGGTGGTCTGAGTAAAGCACATTGGCCTGTCACTCCTGGATCACACAAGACACCATGGGAAGGCTTGGGCTGTCCACAGCTCATGATTGTGACAGTGACTGAAACTGACTTCACAAGAACCTGCTGCTCCGCCAACCACTCTGGTGAACCTGTCAGGTTGGGCATGTCTTGAGTTTGTCTCAGAGCAACTGAGACCACAGCGCACAGGCCTCCCCAAAGTACATGAGACCCACTGCAGTACTGGCATATGTTCTGGCCCATGGCACCAGTCTCAACTGGAGGCATGTGGGCTCTTACCCACTTACGCCAGGGTTAGTGCCCTCTTCCTTGACAGCAGTGTGCTTCAGAGCTTTGCCCAGGGACTGTCCTTGTCCCTGAGGGATGTAACCCAGATAGATTGCCTGTCAGTAGAGCATGTGTAATCTTGACTGCATCTCACCGGGGCAGCTATTTGGCTCCAGCTTAGTGTCGCTAGCTGCCTGTCTAGATGGTGACTCTGCTCACAGAACATGTTGATATGACTGTGTTTCATCTCAGGACTCAGAAGACTTGGCAACGAGGGCTCAGTGAGCTTGCTTTGTGCAGCTTTCTACCTCCCAGGGCCTAGGGCTACTCTGACATGGCGCACACAGGGAGACTGCTTCCAGTCCCATGAGAAGGTGGGCCTTACTGCCTGCCACCCTGCTGAAGGCTCGATGAGCATCAGTTAAGCAACTCGGACGGTTTGTTGTCTTTATTGATTTTGTTTTGTCTCTTCTGTGGTTTTCCACCTTCCTGGCTGCTTGGCCTTTCTTTTCCTTACTCTCCTAGCCTTTTCTGCAAGGGTTTTAGTCAAGGCCAGTTCTGCACAGACCTCTTTCCTCTGTTGCAGTGGTCACTGAGTAAACCTGTTTCCACTGTCTTCAGCATCTGGCTTTGTTTTCTTCCGTAAGCAGGGACCAACTGTCACTTCAGGTGCAGATCACCAGGCAGAGGACTAAGTTGTCTGCCCAGAACAGGCCAGGCTGAGTACCAGTGTGTGTAGACTGACATGGGATGGGAGACTGCTGGGCCTCTTCCTTCTGCCTCCCACACACTTTCCATGCTGCTTTTCACCAGGTTTCCTGTAAAAGAGCCAAGGAGCCCAAAAGTATGTCCTGCTCTAGATAGACCGCATTCTGCTCTGAGAAAGCATCTCTTCACCTTTCATTTCCTAAAAAAGCTCTTCCTCTGCTAAAACCTGATACATTTTCTTCAGCCTAGAAGATCCAAGCAGGGGTCTCCTTGGTCTCTGGAGGGACTTCCTTGAGCCCCCTGATGGTGACACCCTGGCTGTCTGGCAGAGGCCTTGAAGCTGAGTCCCTTCCTTGGGTACCTCCTGAGATAGGGGATGGAGACTGGGCCAGGCCTCAAAGTGCTGTTTGAAATGGTTTTGCATACCTTCAATTTTTTTCTTCCTTTTTTTTTTTTTTTTAATTCTTCAGCTAAAACAGCAGAATTGTATACAATTGAGAAACGAGTTAGTCCAGAATGCCAAAGTTCCCAGGCAAAGAATCAGTGGGGGATGCTATGAGCAAGGTGGGTCTTCTCTCAGTGGTGGTCTTGGTGACAGGATGGCAATGTAGGTTCTACATCCACTGAGACAGAATCTGGGGAGTATCAGGCAGTCAACAACTCCTACAAACATCCTGGCCTCTTGCAGTCCTTATTTTTGCTCCTTTGGCCTCCATGGTGTACAAGCTATTTTACTTAGACCTCTGCTTCATCTTTCTTCTTTTGCTTTTCGGCCTGTGCATTCGCTTCTTCCTCCACTTGGCTCTCATAATGCAGAGGTTTCCAAGATGATAGTGCTAAAGAGTGGGTACCTTAAATTTCTTTCGGCAAACCTTACTAAGATGGGCTCTAACAGTGGCAAAGGCCAGACAGCCTTCCTCCTGTGAGGGCCTGGGTGAATTAATTACTCTCTCTGGTATCAGTAATAGGGTTACTGACTGCTTTGAGGATAAAGATCTGTCAAGATACAAAACATACAACACTGAACATGGGGCGCATGTTAGCTTCTGTCTTTGTTAAAGGCACCTGTTTCCCCACCTCCATGTGGAGACTCTTGGTACAGGAAATGGCATCTGCATCCTTCCAGTGGCTTAGGCCCAGTACTCCTGGAGTGGCCTTTCCCAGCCAGGGTGTCACCATCAGGGGGCTCAAGGAAGTCCCTCCAGAGACCAAGGAGACCCCTGCTTGGATCTTCCAGGCTGAAGAAAATATATCAGGTTTTAGCAGAGGAAGAGCTTTTTTAGGAAATGAAAGGTGAAGAGATGCTTTCTCAGAGCAGAATGCAGTCTATCTAGAGCAGGACATACTTTTGGGCTCCTTGGCTCTTTTACAGGAAACCTGGTGAAGAGCAGCATGGAAAGTGTGTGGGAGGCAGAAGGAAGAGGCCCAGCAGTCTCCCATCCCATGTCAGTCTACCCACACTGGTACTCAGCCTGGCCCATTCTGGGCAGACAGCTTAGTCCTGAGCCTGGGGGCCCTGGCTGTGAGCGCATCTGAGCTTCCTCCTCAGGCCTCTGGAATGCACACATTATGCACCTCTGGGAGAGTGGAAGAAACATCCTGGGTGTTTTGAAGATAAAGGTAAGTGGGGTGAGGCTACCTGGAGTGCCCCAGGCACGGGCCCTCTCCTGTCACCCAGGAACCAGCCACGACATCTCTCCTTCCCAACTCATCCCCAGCTTGTTCTGTGAGCCACTCTGAGTTGGTGCTTTACTTACCTCTGTGTCCCTCTTGGCCCAAGAGAATGCACCAAGATGCATGTAAGGTCTCAATGTGTGCTCCAGTGCTTCTGCCAGCCTTGCCCAGGTTCCCCAGGATTGGGATCACAGCTGTTCCCTCATCTGACTGCCCGGTGCACTTGGCTTGAGCAGTGGTAGAAGTTTAGGTTCCAGCGCATAAGAAGTGAGTTCAGCACCCAGGGGCCTGTCAGGGTGGTGAGATGGGCCAGAAGAGGAGCCAGTGGCTAGGGCTGTGCTCACGCTGTGTGCTGTCCTCTGCCCCATCCTCACGGCTCCCAGGTGCCTGCCTCACCACTGCATGGGAGCTGAGACAGCAGGCATGCTCAGGGCTGGGCCTCAGGCAAGCTTCTCATCCTTCCAGCCTGTGCCTTCCACTCAGCTCTTCTTGACCCAGCAAGTCCTTCAGGGGCCCAAAGAGCCTCCTAATCATTTGTCTGAGAGCTGGCCCTGGCAGGAGCTCAGGCTCCAATCCTGGAGTTGCACTCCAGGTCGGTGCCGCTCCCCCCACCCCCCTGCCGGCCGAACTTAAGATTGCTCATGTGAATTTGCAGGAACAACAAAAAAAACAGACACAAATTACCTTTACAAAAGCTTCAGGATGGCTCCTCCACTCTCTACCTCAGGATCCCCAAAAGAGAAAGTCATGAGACTGGTAAGAGAGAGAGAGCATGTTTGGAAGTGGGCTTTTATTGGGAGGACTCGTTCTTTAGAAAGTTCTATCCTAAAAAGGGCAGAATGGGCAGGGTTACAAAGGACAGATGAGTGAAACTGGCCCATGGCACTAGTCTCAGCTGTAAGCATGTTCTGGAAGCACGTGGGCTCTTACCCACTTTGCCAGGGTTAGTGCCCTCTTCCTTGATGAAGGGATGAAGACCACCTTTACTGTCGCATTCTTCATGACTAAAACACTCAGGGTCACTCCAGGGGAACTGGGCTCCACTAAATAATCACACAAGACAGAGATACCTTTTTCTTTGGGTCCTGTGATGGCTCCTCTGACCTTAAGGGTCCACAGAAAGAACACGTGCTGAACCCTTTTATTGAGGAGAAGCCATTCAAATGAGGCAAGGGGTCAGGTTTCAGGCCGTTGAGTCCAGCTTCCTGATGTCTGCTGTCAGCAGGTCGACTGACATCTAGGAAGGCCACACCCAAAGGCAGAGCAAGAGAAGGGACACACAGAGGGCATTTCCATGGAACAT